TTTTTAACCCCCCCCCCCCCCCCCCCCCGTTCCTACGCCCCTGACGATCATCATGGGAAAACGCACGTTCATGTGTCACGATCTCTGTGTCACTATATAATTACGTTATAGGAAAACTAATGGCCATGACGAATCTATAATTTGACAGATCACAGGAACATATGCATATTCCGAATAAGAACATTAGGAATTCAATATAATTCATGGTTGAGGAAGTTTTCCAACGTGTCTGTTTCGTCTGCTTTGAACGATTTTCTTAGTTTTCCTTTATCTTTTCAGCTAATTAATATTCAAGGTGTTAATCTCTCGGTACATCAAAGAAAACCGACTCAATCATGAATTAAGTCATACGAAATGCTAAATATAGCAAACGTTTAATACCTAAAGAAGAATATTGAATCAAATATATAAAATAAATTATAAAGAAAAATATTGAATCAAATAAACAAACTAAAAGGAACAAAAAGCCATCACGACATTTCGAAGTTTGAAAAAGAACAATTTAAACTACGTTTACGCTGCGATTAATCGTGTACGATTCGTTTTCTGGTGTATGTCATTGAGTAAACACGCGTAAGCTGGCCACATTTGAAATTTCTTTTTAACGAATCAGCAATGAATTATGGCGCCAGCACTCATTTTAATACGCCAGAATACGAATTGTACACGATTAATCGTAGCGTGTAACTGTAGCTTTACCTCGAATTTAACTGGGGCACAGAGACGGGGGGGGGGGGCTATTACAGTCTGGCGGTTAAGCGGTTTCAGCCTATTTTGTGAGTCGGATTACGGAAAAGTATAGATTTTTGTAACGGTTTACGGTGAGGATACTATCTAGCGGTGGCGGAATTTCGCGACTTTATCGCACGGTTTTCGGTTGTTAGGCAAGTTTAATCGCGGATTACGGTTAGAAATATAATTCAGTACCCTTTCATAAAGGGCTCATAATCTATCCGTCCTTCATGGCATTATTGAGTGCTTGAATTATGCTTCGTATAGAAAATGGATGGTCTTTATTGCTTTGTGTGGAAAACATGGCGGTTACGGTTATACAACAAAATGACGGGCGATTGACGGAACAAGGGAAAACAAATGCGCAGTTTGCGGAAAGATATTATGATTTCGTTGTGCTTAAATTTTGCAATATAAATTATCACACAAATATATCTTGAAAATCCTTCTTAACTTTTTATAAAGCATACAAAGCATATACATCGATAATGAACCGCAAAACTCAAAGTTGTAAACAGTTTGAACGTGACCGTTTGACATAAAGCTGACAGTTAATTCCAGCTATTTTCGGTCTGGTCGCGTAATTTTGAAAACCTGTGTAACTGTAAGCCCCTTACATTATGACATTGTGATTCAGTGATTCACCGACATAATGTGTGATGGTGTATTTGGTAATAGTAAAAAAATTAGTCTTGAACAATCTCAGTCGTGTTGTTTATTCAAATATACAACCCTCAAATTTATCTTCCCAGTGTGCTTTTTTGTATGAGTAACATGATGTGCCGTTACCTTGTGGTATGTTCATGATGCCCAATGTTAACCCAGCAGCAATGTCGTCTGGGAGATCTTTTTTTGGTTTGTAGTTTGGTAGCCATTCTGTAATGGGTAGTAATCCATGTACGGTGTCACGCAAAGACCACTTCTCCCACTTTTCAGAACATTTTTTTCGCAGCCATTCTGCCAGCTCCTTGTTTAGCATCTTTAATAATTTGTCGAACAGCTGAATTAATTCCTTTTGCTATTTGTGTGAGAACGTCTTACCCTTTTGATGTTTTGAGTCAACTTCCCTGTTTATATATGTCAACTTTTTTATGAACGAAGCTAAGTAAACGGAAATAATTTGCAATATTTTAAGTGGTATCTCTGAAGTGGTATAGGAACGGGTGTAACAACTGACATATGCAAATGAATTTCGCCGATATTGGCAAACATGACAAACATGTGATAACACTACCATAGAATAAAGATCCATATAGAAGGGCCACTTACGTCGGAAGCTTTGAAGTTTCTGTCCTCGCGCATGTCGCATTACGCATGTTGGCCGCCATTTTCCTAGCCAGTCAATGACATTTTCTGGCCAATAAACACGCTGTACTGGCTGGCTGCTCCGCCTTCTGGCCAGTAAACTGCATATTTTTGCATAAAAAAAACGAGGACATGTTGCACCGCTGAGTGGCCCTTCTGTTACTGATCTTTATTCTGTGACACTACATAGACATAGTACATGTGTATCATATGATCTCAGCCCCGGAAACATCTCGCTATTAAGCGAGATACTTTCGACGGAGTTGATAATCACATGATTGAGTGATCCGAACAGCATCAGGAGGAACCACGTCCAGTTTCGGTCCCACTTTCTTTACTGTTAAAAACGTGGTGTCCCCCGATAAAGGAAGTGTTCTGAGCACTGGTGCTAGCTATTTTTAAAAGTCGAGCCATAATGGACTGTTATTTAATCTCGAACGGGTCTGTGCTAGTGCATGTGGATAGCGATGATAACAAGACTGCTGCGGATTGATACAACAACTACCTGCAAAATACAAGCAGAATTTCGACGTTTCCAGCGAAGGCCCTATAATAGAGTCATTAGAGACCTTACGATGTAGGACGGCAACGCAACGACAACGGCCAGATTAAAATCATTCAAATGAATGATTGTAAAGAAGGTTTGTAGACTATTATTGATCGTATCAATTTAATACGTACTGTTTGGTTAGCTTGAAATAGTGGCTTTATTGTGGAGAACGTTCTATATACTGTAGTACTGAGCTAATTTGCTGAGTATATATCACGTCTCGCGTCTTCACGTTTTATCCATGATGTAAATGTTAGACTTGGATCAAGTCCGTCTCAACAGAGTCCGAGTCGCGAAGCGACGAGATCGAGTGCGCCGCGAAGCGGCGCGCACCTCGCGCGCCCGATCCCTCGGACAGTGAGTCGGACTCTTGAGAGACGGACTTGATCCAAGTCTATGTAAATGTCTGTAGTTTCCCGTTATAAACAGACCATGGACAATGTCTAAAACTCCCGTTGGATCTAGAGATATTAATTATTCTTTTTTTTTCTTAAAGTGCCTATGACACGAAATTTCACCCCAAAGGTTTATGGTTGCATTGTAAAGATCACTTAAAATGACTTAATAATTTCTTTTACAGAATTTTGGTAACTTGCTTCCTTTGCAAGATATTCAACTTTGTTTCATATGCAAATATCACCGGTGTGACATCACATTTCATCATGAGTTTTCAGAAAAGTATAGTTTTCTTGACGAATACGTATCTAAAAAACTTTAAAAAAATTGCCCTTGTATATATGTATTAATTTCATAACTGGTAATTAACCCTCTGTATTTGTTTGTAAAAGTATTTTATCAAGGTAAAATATTGCGTTTTGAAAATGTCATTATGCGATGTGATGTCACACCGGTGATATTTGCATATGAAACAAAGTTGAATATCTTGCAAAGGAAGCAAGTTACCAAAATTCTATAAAAGAAATTATTAAGTAATTTTAAGTGATCTTTACAATGCAATCATAAACATTTGGGGTGAAATTTCGTGTCATAGGCACTTTAAATATTATGAATCTCATTGTATGAATAGCCGTCGTCGTCACGTTGCCGTCACACATCGTAAGGTCTCTACTAACTTCCCGACGAAAGGCCTTCGCTTGAAACGTCGACGTTCTGCTTGTATTTTTCATGTGGTGGTATCCCTCTCAATATCTCAATCCGCGGCTGTCTCATAATACGATTGTTACGTTTCATCCACACAATGATGTGGTATGACTGTATTACATGCTGAAATGCACGAGTATATAGTTTATCAATCTGTAAACAAACATTCAAAGATCGACAACGCTAGAACGGGGTATATTTATAAACACAGCTTTTTGGCCTATAACGAGTCTATATTCTCAGTCAAAAATTACACAAATAACGAGTTTCAAACAAAGAGAATGTCGAAGGCCGGTTTACACGACCAGTGTTTTGAGCACGGCACCCCTAAAAATAGGCACTCGTGCCCAAAATGTTAGGCCCGGCACCTTTGCCTTTTGACGTGTAAACGTGACAAAAATCGGCACCGGTGCCGAAAAATTAAACGTACAGTAGAAAGTCTCACTATATATACCAGCAAAAGAAAAAAGGACAAATTAAAATTATTGCAACGTTATGATAAGTATAAAATTATTATCCAGTGATTCATGCATGGAATCGTGACAGGGAGCATTAAGTCAAGGACGAGGTGATTTCGTTTTAATTTGTGTAATTTGGTGACTTTCAAAATTTGGTTCTTTATATAATATATAAGAACCAAAATCTTATATATAATATATATATAAGAGCCTATATCGCGTCATTTGAACAGAGTAATTTTAAAGACTGTATGTTTTACACGGACAAAAGAAAAGCAGCTACATTTTTTGAACATTTCTAAACGTTTTACGAAACGCATAGCCATAGCTATAGGAGATGATTAATGCTCAATTGCTCCTGCACTCGGCACACTGCCACGCATGCACTGCCGCATACGACTCCGGCGTATAAACGGAATCGCTTAATTGTGCGCCGACCTACTGCGGCTATATTATTAAAGCAAAGTTCCCAAACCAAAACAGCGAGTTCATGCAGTTTAGGCAAGGAACTTCACAAACCAATTATCTGAACTGAACCGCGGCATGTCTTGAATTAAACCTTACTTCAAAATTTGTTAAATCCGACTTCAATGTTTTATTGAAACAGCCGGTAATAAATACACATTGTCATTCTGTTAAATATGATAAACAAGCTAAAGCCTGAAGTCAATGATTTATACCTTTTCCATCGCTAGAATACTTGATCCATTGTCCAGCAGTTTCCAAACCACATAAACATGAGTACTGAACCCTGTCAAATTAGCTATAACGCATTGTATAGTAATTTGACAGCTCTAATTGCTTTGAACTAATGGTTGGGTAAGAACACAAGGTCTTGTACTCATGGGACAATACTCAGAGAAATAAAAATTAGAAAATTTAAAAGAAATACTGTATTTCTTTTCAATTTTCTAATTTTTATTTCCTTGAGTTTTGTCCCATGAGAACAAGACTTTGTGTTCTTAGCCAACCATTAATTCAAAGCAATTAGAGCTGTCAAATTACTACAATACGTTATAGCTAATTTGAATTTGAAAGGGTTCAGTTTTTTTTTATACACACTGTACAGGGTGTCTCAAAAAAACCCAAAATCATTGAAATAACGTATTGTTCGAATTTCAATGCCGTAACACAAAGGATTTTGACAGGGTGATTAATTTGTTTTAAAAAATTAAAATATATTTGTAAAGTGAACGTTTGTTTGCTCATGGGAATTTAAAAATGCTTCGTAAATTCGTGGGTTTAGTACTTTATGCCTGACATAACAAGTTTACGCTGAGTATTACCATTCATTATAGCAGTTATGTCAATCTTTTATGCACTCGTGGGATTAACTTAGTGCTAGGGCATTGAATATCGAACAATACGTCAATTTCAATGATTTTGGGTTTTTTTGAGACACCCTGTACTGTATATACTTGAGACC